CCCAATTCAGCTTTTCTCGCAAAATGTTAATTACAGGCAGTGTTAGTTCTATGCAATGTGCTAGACAAAGCAAAATAAACAGATAACAGGGGGGCAAGGGAGACTGGAAGTGGGGGAGACGAAGATGGCCAACTAAAACCGAAAAATACTAAGTAAAAAGTTTTAAAAGGCTTCTGCAAGACTTCTTAGCATCTTTAGAAAATACTGCATCCTGCGAATCTCAAAGGGGTGGAGGGGTACAGTTCATTCTTCCAAGTAATCCCGATATACTCAGAAATACTACTCTAGTTGAAGTTTTTGAATAGATGAGTTCATATTTAAATGAGTTGTTATCTAAAGATAATGAAACTAAAACCTATCAAAATCTAACCATATACACAGCTCAAAAGTTATACCAACACAGTAGGTATGGGTCAATCTATGTTTTAAAATGCACTCACCTAGGTAATATAAATACATAAAGAAAGTTACCTAGATTCAACAATCTACGAGCAGATAAGCTAAAAAAAAAATCTTTTTCACTGGCTAATGTTCAATTCAATGGCAAGGATCCTGTAACACCCAAAAGTGAGGATAACTCACAAGCAACAACAGCATAACAATTTATCAAGTCAGTCAGATAAATCTAAGACACCAATGAATATATTGGATTTCTCTGGAAGGCCTATATTCCAAATCATCATTTCTCCCTAGGGTATGGAAAAATCTGGTAAAACTTAAAGAGATGATCACCAATGAAGTCATACAGACAGAAATACATTTGCCTGTAATTTAAAGTAAATGGAAGTTCTTTAGTTTTATTCACCAAACAAAAATTACTTATTTCATCTTATTTATCTTCCATTTTTGTCAAATGAAAAATCAACAGTAGAGGCAGACCCTAAAAACAAGAATAAGTGGTAACAGTGTGAAGTCATAAGTAACCACTGAAAAGTCACATGTAACAGTGACTAACTTTCTGGCTTATATTGTAGGAAAGAGTATCTGCGTTTGTTTCATTCATTCAACAAGTAATTTACTGAGCACCCATGATGTGCCAAGAACTGTGCTCAGCACCTATAGACTTCTTAAAAGTTCAGAACATAGCCCCTGCCCCCTAAGAGCTTACAACTGTTGGAAAGGCAAAGCAAATAAACCATAATAAAACAAAACAAGTGCTAAAATAAGTGAAATAGTAAGAGTTATGGGCTGATTACGTAGGATTTTATTTTAATAATCTGAAGGGGAGGTATATGCTGGGAAAGTTTATTGCTGAGGACCTCTTGGAGAAGGCAGGACTTGAAATGGCAGAATTTAGGTAAATAAAGGAAAGCTCATGGTAGTAGAGAGCTGGGGGGCAGGAGAGCAAGAAAAACAGCACAACCTTGGTCATGAACTAATATAGTTACTCAAAATACCATGAAAAGACCAGCCCGCATTCATATTAGGGAATGTGAAGACACGCAGCTCAGAATCGTGCTCTGAATTATATACTATGGGAGATAACTGAAAGTTAAATTGTGGAACGTAGACATTACGCTATAGGCACAGAAAAACAGTGGAAGTTCTAGGGCAAGGAGATAACTCATTGAAATCTAAAAAGAGTTTTTTGGGGGACAAGCTTGAAGCAAGAAAACCAGCTCAAAAGTTGTAAAGAGTATCTTAGGCATGAGAGTGTAATGACTTAAGCTCAGATAGCAGCAGGAATAGAAATAAGGTCTATAAAAACCTGCCTTACTCAGTAAGAGAACATGAAAATCCGACTTATTTTTAAAGAGGAATTATTCATTTATCAGTTTATTGAACAAAGGCAACAAGAAAAAAATACTGAATAATTAGAATTAGGGGGGCATTACTAAAAGAATTTCCTATTTTTACTTGCATATCAACCCATAAAATCTTATACATATCACCTATCCTTATCAAATGATCTAAATTGAATCATAGGTTGTTAGAGCTGAAAGGGACCTTAATTCTTTTACTCTACTCTTCTCATTAAAAGAAGAAGAAAATTAAGAATTAAAGAAAGAAGACAAAGTCAGGCAGGAAGACTCTTGGGCTTAAGTGAAGGCCAAATCGCCTGTGATAAGGGTGGTTTATGTTGTAGAAAAGACAACAAAAGAATAAGACGTGAAAATATTTTAAAGCAAAACATTATTTACAATACACATAGAGAAAGAAGACAGCTTCATACATAATTATATCTTAATACAAATCTCTACTGCCACCAAGCAGGAAAATTATTTTATCATTAACATTTATAAACTTGTAAGGTCCCTTCCAACTGTAAGATCCTATAACTCTAAAAGTAGAAGCACAACTCTCCCATCTGAAGTTAATGTACAATAAGAAAGGCAAGTTTAACCTACAGGATAAACTTGAAAGAATATTATTAAGACCTATTTGATAATTTCCAAATATCTATTACTACTAATAGATTCATCCTAAATTCTAAAAAGGCATTCTAGGTTATCTCCTGAACTAAAACAAAACAGGCTACTCCTCTAATCTAAATCATTTGCTGCATTTCAAAAAGTACAAACTCTGGCTTCTGTAGACTGTTATGTCCAGTCTGCATATTATTTTACAAACAAGTTTTAAAATTTCATGTCATGTTCAGTAACATCCCAAAGACCACAATCACTTAGCAAGTAAGACTGCCACCAATTTTAGTCCTCAGCTGGTCCCAGAATGAGATCTTAATGTGAACTAGGCAATATACATGAAGGTTCCATAACCTTCAACTGCAAAGTCTGAAGAATCTGTGAATTAACTTTTTAAAATTTGATGACAGAACCCTACCAACTTTGTGTCACTGCAGTGAGCTTATATAGGCACCCCGCTTCTTCTCATTATCTTCTGACCACTTACTGCTCACTTATACTTCTGAGGGCGGGTAGACAGAAGACATGATGCAGAAAAAAGGATCAAGTTTGAGAATTATCAACTTTTATTTTAAGGTAGTTGTTTATAGGGCTTTAAATTAGATTTCTGATTACGTGACTGTTTATATTATCCATGCCCTCCCACTGTTATCAAAGCTAAAACAAGAATTTGTTTTACCAAGACTTGGGCCCCATATTTATTAGATATCAAGAGGAAAAAAAGGAATAATCTAAGGGAAAAAAAAATGGGGATTCTCTTGAGTTCCTCAGAGCTGGGTTCTTAAGTCATTCAATCGTTATCCTAACAGGAGCCAACAGAGAGAGACTTTTAAACATCTAAACAGTCAGGTACGCTTAAAGGCACATGGCATATACTGGTCTAGGAAAGAAGCAGAAGAAAACCACAAGGTAAAATTCAGAGTATTTGAATGGATGTGTACCAAGTAGCAAATAACCTTACTAGGAAGATGGTCACTACAGAGCTAAAGAGAAAGGGCCATAAAGCAAACTGTGACCAGCTTATGTCAATGAGATACATGAGTACTTAAAAAATAAAATCTGCATTTTACTCAAAATGACTAGCTGGTATCTTGGTTTTGGTAGTGCAACAGCACCAATACAGCAAGGGCAAGCAGGTCAATCCCTTGCAAAACTTACCTTGATTGGCCCAATGGAAACAGAAGGCCCCAGAAAAGAGAGAAGCATCTGGCAGTAGCAAATTGTTTTATTTTATCTTTCTGTGGAAAGAAACTAATTTTAAATAAGAACCAGAGCATTTAAAGAATAAATATTTTTTAAAGCTCATTATCTAGTTAGAGCAGCTCTACTGAGAAAACAAGAAGAGCTCCTTGCTGCTTAGAGATGGAAAGAAACAGAAGAGGAATCAGAGTTGTTTCTCCATCACCTAGGGAGTTTTAAAACTTGTGTTATCCTAGAGTAACAGAATAAATAGTTCTTTTATTTAAAGAACTCCTACAGGCAGAATATTTTGGGCCTGGTGCCTCTGAATAAAGCTTTTTATACAAAATTAAGGGCTATACTCTTAAATACCTTAAATAAAAAAGAAGAAAACCACTTGACATTAAGCCCTTCTATTCTTAAGAAAAAACAAAACAAAAACACACACACAGAGCGAGCTCCTTTCTCCACTACAATTTCACCAATAATTCAAACCATCAAGGCTTAAATGATTATCAAAGCAAATGATGCCCCCAACTGGCAGAAAGATCATACCTAATTGACTGGCTTTCCAAAATATTTTGTTAGCCTAAATACTTGATGATTTATTGAAACACTAAATGGAAAGAACCCAGCCACCAAAGGATATGTGTATTATAGAACCTAACAGGGGGCATAAAATTATTTACGGTAACTGAACCTGTTACCTTTCTTGGATGCTTTTCTAGGAATTAAGTTCTATTGAACTCATTGAGTCAGCATTAAAACCTTTTGGTCCAAATCACTCCCACAAAATGTTTACAATTTATGCTGGAGATGGAAGGGACAGCTCAAAAGCAGAAGTGCAGAAGCAAAAATCATTAAAAAAAAACAAAAAAACAAAATAGTATAAGTGGAAAATAAACTACCTATTTGGCACCGTCCTATGAAGAACCAAATCAGAGTAGAACCTTCCCACCTCCTCCACCCCCAATGCGTGCACGCACGCGCACACGCGCGCGCGCGCACACACACACACACCAGGAAGCTTTTTCAGGAATAAAATTAATCCTAAGCCAAAGGCCTAAACAACTGCTGTTTTAGATTCTATGCATGTACAAGGTCCACCAACAAAAATTATATTGACATAGCATATTTACTTCAATTGACATACTTGGGGGGAAAGTCATTAAACTAAAAAGCCTACATGTACTTTGCCAGTTTTAAATTTAAAAAAACAAACCAAAACAAAAACAACTCAATTTTGTTGCTGTAGAAAGTAAATCTCTTATACAGATTTTTCATTACACTCAAAATTTGGTTACTGTCATGATTATACAACATTTCACTTAAAAACATTATTCTGGCATAAACTGAAACTTAAACAGCTGTAAGTATTGACCCAGATTTTGAAATTCTTTGACACAAGAATACCATGGGCAAAAGTAAACAAAGAAATACAAAACAAAACATTCTTACTTGTCCCATTGGTGGTCCTCCCATTGGGGGCATCATTTGCGGCATCATTCCATGAGGTACAGGAGGCATATTCGCTCTCTGACCCATAGGATGCATTCCCATTGGGGCATAATGCATGCCAGGGTGCCCCATCTGAAAAAGAGGGACAATTTAAAAATTAGTAAGTACCAATAAATGCTTCTCAAAAATCTGATTTCTACAAATCAGTTATATGCACGACATAGTATCTGGCTAATGTGTGATTCAATTACTGAGTTAGTTTATACTTTCTTGTCTTAAATAAAATGTACAACACCAGTATTTATGAGCTTGCACCTGACCAAATTTCAGAACAAAATGGAAAAAATTAAAATCATCACTGGACACCTAATTCGTAGTTGTTGTTGTTGTTTTTAAGCATGCTGATTTAATCAGTTACCAACTGGCTTGCTAAACTGGGAGAAAATGCATGTGAAGGCCAACTTAACTGTTATGGTGAAAACCACAACTTTGTCCTACTTCACACAGATATCAGCTAGTCAACTATTTTTATTTTATAACTTCATTTATTCTTAAATTTATTTCTAAGATGATTTTAAGCTTTAAAACGCTGAATTTACCCAATTAACTCAGATGAGGGCTGGTCTTACACAAAACAAACAGTATTGGATACCCGGGGACACTTCCCTCCTAACAAGCAAACATATTATTTCCTAAGAGAATCTCTAACACAGCTAAAATTACTCCTGCAAAAAACAAAACAAAAAACCCAAAGAATGAGGTCTGTCACTCACGGACACTAAATGCAAACAACTAATTCATCCATCTTAACGCGCTTTTATAAGACAACTACTTTCTTTACTTCTGTGTCCATTGTTACAGGTCTTAAAAGCAGGAAATTATCTCCTGCCAATTCTCCCAGCTGTCCCCCCGCTGCAGACAACACTACTACTAGTGAAGAAATTCTGGCAGCCTCTATTAAAGTCTACCGAATCAAGTCTCCGCCTTCCCCCCGCCTGCTTAATCGGGCCTACCTCTCCAAAACGCTCACCCCGCCTAGGGCCCAGCACCTCTACCGCGTATCTGCCTAGGCCAAACCCACTGGGAACTTCCACGGTCCCACTTCCTTTCCTTTGTGCATCCCCGCCCTCCCATTTCTCTCCCTCGGAACATATCCCACCATCTCGAGCTCTTCCTTCGTCCACTCTCATCTTCTCCTCCTTCTGGAGAAAGCTTCCTGTCTCTGACTCCGTTTTTCATTGTGCCGCTTTCCCCCTGCCCCACCGATCCCTTACCGAGGGCCGTCTCCTCAGGAAGCCGTCAGCAGAGACCCAAGAGCTGGAGCAGAGGCTTGAGCCGGACAATCTCCGCTCCCCGTCCCCGGGACCCCGCGAGGGAGGATGGCTCTCCATTTCACTCACCATGAGGCCTCCACGCTCGGCTCCCGTCCCCGGCCTCATCGTCGGACTCAGACTGCTCCGGCGGCGGCCACTGCCGCTACACATACCAACAAGAAGCGACCTGAGTGGCTGGCGCCCACTGGGGCTAAAGGTTAAAGGCTGCCCTGCGCTACGGGGCGGGATCAGCGGGGCCAATAAGCTGACAGGCTTCCCCGCTGTCCAATCAGACTGCGCTGCCGACACGCAGCTCTTCGGCGATTCGCCCCCAGCCTCAGCCTCACTCGGCGTCGCCTGCATGGAGGGGGGAATAGGGGGACGGAGGAAGTTTCTGCGCCGACTCCTCTGCCGGGAAAACTCCACCAACTTCCCCCGGGGAAGGGAAGACAACTGTATCCCAGCTTCCCGAGCTTAGACAGCCTCACCCCGTAGGGGGTGGGGCAGTGGGGGCCTGCCACCTTCACCCCCCGCCCGAGTCACGTACGCCCCGCAAACCTGAGGCCGCCGGGGGTGGGGTAGGGTGGGGTGGGGGTGGAGGAAGCAGCTTCTAGCGTTAGCGGTGGCAGGGGCTGGATGCGCGCGCGCGGGGCTCGAGGTGGAGGGAGGGGGCGGGGAAGGCGAGAGGAGGGGTCGTGAGGAGCGGGTTCGAGCTCAGTACGCACCAGCTGGCGAGCGCGCGCCGGGGTGGGGGGAGGAGGCGTGCCGAGCGGTGTAGAGGGAAGTTGTGGTAGGGGCGGGGAGAACAATGCGACAGGGAAGGAGGAAAGGGCAGTTAAGGGAGGCGAGGGCGTGGCGAGCTGAGCTGCCGTTAATGAGGGAAGCCGGGGCTAGTGCAGGCGTAGAGGGGAAGAAGGGAGAAAGCAAATAGGTTCGGGAATGTGTATTAGAGGGGCATGGGCGGGCGCTAGGACCGAGCGTCGGGGAGGTGCGGCTTTGGGGCTGCCGGGCTTGCATGGAGGTGACGCGGCGGTGGCGGAGATTGCTGGCCCGGACTAAGCACTGCAGGGAGAGGACACTCGGCTGCCTTGGGCCTCGGCTTGTCTCTCCCCGCGCACTTCACTGCGCTCCTTCCTTCGTACTACTTGAGGGTCATGCTCTGGTCCGGGGGCGCCCAGCCTTTTCTCGGGCCCCACGGCACTTTCCTCGCCCAGCCACGCACCCTTGTGCACCCCTGCGCGCCGGGGCCAGGTGGTGGAGGCCGTGGAGGGCCTGGCCGTTGATTGGCTGCTGCGACCGCGGGGCGGGGCAGGTGGGCGACGCCTGACCTCTGCGGACCTGATTGTCTTTCCCGCCATGTCGTTCGTGGAGAGTGGGAGGCGACCAGCCCCTTCTCGCCGCCGTCTAGGCACTGCTGTCCCGTTTGCTCAACCGGCGTTTTCCGCTTTCACTCAGGGAGACAGCTGGGGTGAGGGTGAAGTCGACGAGGAGGAGGGATGCAACCGAGTGGCCCGTGACCTGCGGGCGGAGTTCTCGGCCGGGGCGTCATCGGAACCTAGAAAGGACTCGCTACTCCGGCCAGATGGGCACGGGTCTCCCGCCCTGCCCGATAAACGCAATGGTATTTTCTCGGCGGATGCGGGCGGCAGAGCCCAAGCCCGGCGCTGGCCGGTCCAGGTCCTCTCAGTTCTCTGTTCGCTGCTGTTTGCCATCCTCCTCGCCTTCCTTCTCGCTGTCACCTACCTGATCGTAAAAGGTACGGAATGAAGCCCGGGCCTTGAAAGTGTGTCCAGAGTTTACTTTAGTTGAGCCTGGACGTGGCTCTCCCCTTCGTCGCCCTCGCTCCATCAAAGGCCGGCAAGCTGGTAGCCGCTTTCATCCAGAGTCCTCGTCCGCACCTTTCTTTGATCTTCTCCCTTGTCTTCTCGTTTCTTAAAGGTAGAGGACCTTGGTCCGTGATCAGGAGACCCATTTTAAGAAAGGGTCTTGATAAGTGGGTAGTCTTGAAGAAAAAATATCTTAAAGTCGGTGAACACTTGCGGTAAAATATTGGCAAAATCAAGCAAGATGCATAACAACCGTCATTAAAGGAAGACGGTGCAAAGTGTAATTATTAAGCTATACACGTTCAAAGAGTTTAATCAACAACTGGTTAAAGATGTACAATCCACTGATTCTTCCGTACACGTTGAATTGCTGAAGGACAAGGATTTCCATCCCACAACCCAAATTTATACTTGCATAGGTAAAATAGACACTCTTGGGTTTTGAATTAGGTTTGCAACCCAGTGTAGTGGTGAAGTTCTGTTGCAGGAGCAAGATAGTAGGTTCTTTCTCTGATTAATGGTGTTATTTTCCATGTCTTAAGTTGAAATATTGGCCAGGTTGGAATAGAAAGAGATGTGCCTTGAAAGGTTTTCCAAAGCTTATACAGATGTGTTATGTGGTTGGATATTTTATGTTGCAGTGGAAAGAGTCAGACGTCAGTTTAAATTTCAGTTCTCAGTGGTGTGTGACTTTGGTTAAGTTACTGAAAAAGAAGAATTAAAACAAGAAAAAATAGTTTGTTGTATGAAAAGCACCCAACACATTGCCACTCAAGTATTTTATTTCACTAAGTAGAATTCAATCTATTTAATTCCAGTTTTTACTTCTCCTCATTGCTTCCAAGCCCCTAGTGGGGTGTAGATGGCATCTAACACTTTACCATGCTTGATTTTCATGCACAAGACAGATTGGCAAGTTAATATGAGAGTTTTACCTCTTCATACAATGATACTGGGTGTAAATTGTCAATGTTAAATATTTGGGTGCCAATGTTTCATTCCTCTTATCACTTCCCTCCCCCATTTTTTCAAAGCAGCTCAGAGTTTTGTCTTGTAGGTAGTTTAATTCTTTTGCTATGAGAGATTGCCTTTGTTCATAAAGTCACAAAACCTGATAAGTTGAAGTACATTGCAGAACACATTGAGCTGTGCTTATTTTGGAGGATGGAGAAAGGAGCTGAACTCAAAACCTAGTAATTCGCATTACATAAAATGTCTAGGGAATAAAAATTCCCATTTTATATACATGGCAGTTGACTCATAAAGACATCTTATTTGCTTACTGAAGGTCACTTAGCTAGTAAATGGAATCAGAATTTGAACCCAGTTGTTTCGGGCTCCAGAGTGCTTTCCACAGCTCCACAATGTCTTTCTGGCCTTTGAGCTACTTTTCAAATTATAAAATTGTTTTTTTTACCCAAGCCCTTTTTGTACTTACAGAGTTACATGCTGAAAATTTGAAGAATGAAGATGATGTACACACTGGACTGTTAGGTATGGACTTTATTGTCACTTAATTTGATTTTTGAGCTCACTTTTGTTTTTCTAGATTATGCTTAAACTATACAGAATTTTGGTTAAATACTTAATATATTCCCTGTGCAGTTTGGTTTTACTCTTTTTCACTTGCATTTGTGTGTGGTAACTTTTATTAGATTTTCTTTTTACATGTGTATGGGGGTATCTCCCTGTGTATATGTATGTATACCAGACATACTAGGAATACATTTTGAATACAACTGTATGTAACAAAGACTCAGAGAATACTTAACGTTTCTTAGTTACCTTTTGGAAAAGTCTCTACACTTCTTCCCAGGAATTAAAAACAAACAAAAAAACCTTACCTCACAAACTTAACAAAGATAACATCTTAAGCAGACCTCATGAGAAGTTTAAGTTCAGATCCCCTTATAAGCAACTTGGTTTTTCAAAAAATATGAAAAGCATTGGGCATACTTACACAGGTTAATCATGACTAGGAAAGAGTCAACCTGAGTTTCTAGAGTGTGTCTGTAGAATGCTGCAGTTTGCAGGTTTGTAGTGAAAAATTCAGTTGTCATTTATCTTTATTTCTCTCTGCGCCAAAATGATTATGAAGACTTCAGAACTTGACCTGTCTGGCATGTTTTGCTCCTGTTTGCTGTAATTTCTTTGGCTGACCACTCTGAATTGGGGTGGGGCGGGTGGGAAATGGTTGCCATCCTAGGCCGCATGTTGCTCCCTCCTCCAATCTTAGCTAACCTATTTAAACTGCCTCCTCAAGGCTAAGGTCCTCGTGGTGATACAAGGTATAGTTCACCTGATTTTGCAGAAGGGGAACGTTTATCTTCAAATTACAAACAACGTAGTTTGCTTGTCCCATGAAAACTTGTCTATGCTTGTCTCAACTTCTTGCATGAGAAAACTGTAAGGAAGGACACCAAGAAACGGAGGAGAGCTTAAGCAAGCTTTATTTGGGAACGCTCCCAGGCGAGGTTCACTGGTCCCAGAGAAAGGGGCCAGGAAGTCGCACCCGGGTGCAGGCACGAACGAAATTTATAGGGGTGGACGCAGGGGAGGTGCTTGCTGTGTGAAGCAGCCCCTGTTTTGGTAATCTCTCGGGTGTTGTGGCAGTGTCGGGTGCCGGTTGCATCAGCCTTAGAGCCTTTGGTTCCGCCCCTCGGGGAGCGGGAAATAGGGGAGTAGGAAAGCCGTAGAGCCATTGGTTTCGCCCCTCGGGGAGCGCGAAAGCCGGGGCCAAGTGGAAAGTCCCGGGTCTGTTTCCTGGGCAGGTGGAAAGTCCCGGGCTGATGCCACTTGTGGGTCGGCTGCATCAACCACCTTGGTGGGGGTTCCGTCTGGCTCCCTGGTCCCTTCCCCGGACCTGCTGGCCTTACATCCCGACTTCTTTGGTGTAATGGGGCGACGTTTGTTCTCTGGCTACTTCCTGCTGTATGGGGGCGCCGGAGGGGAGTCGGGCGGCCAACAGTCCGGAGATTAGGGGAGGGCGGCAGCGGGGGGTTCTGTGGGTAGTAAGGTATATGGGTGGAGTAGCATCTGATTCACCGCCGCCCGAGATACTTCTTGTATGCGATTGCGGAGAAACCTGAGGAAACAGGGGACAAGCATGAATAGGATGCAGGTAAGGATTAAGGGGCCTAGGATTGGTGTCAGCCAGGACCGCCACCAGTCTGGGATGGGGGAGGTGGATTGTCGCTGCCTGCGTTGGAGTTCTTCTTTTAAGCATCGGAGAGCATCCACATTGTCCTCAACGACCCCTATCTCGTTGATATAGTAGCAGCATTCTTCTTGTAGGAAGAGGCAGGTACCTCCTTTGTCGGCTGTCAGAAGGTCCAGGGCGCGTCGGTTTTGGAAGGCAACTCGGGCTACTGAGGCGATCTGGCGCTGGAGGGAGGTGATGGAGGCGGCAGAGGCCTCAATGGCTAGCTGGAGTTTCTGTTCTAGTTTGCGGGATGTTGAGACACTGTGTGTCAGGGCTCCTCCCCCGATGCCTGCAGCAACGAGGGAGGAGGCGAGGGAAATGCCTGCTACCATAGGGAGAAAGATGGCCCTTTTCTGTCGGCCGAAGAGTTGTGTGGTAAGTGAGAGAAATTCGGCTTCGCCATATAATGTGAGCTGTGGAACAAGGGTGACGGGGATACATGGAAAGGGGGAGGAAGAGTTGATCTCTTTTGTAAGGGAGCCATTACACCAAAAGAACAGACCTGGTGGGGCCCCCATTGGCGTAGTTACAGGGAGGGATGAGTTGCAAGGGAGTGCATCATTAGTTAAGTTTGGTCGGCTGCCATAGCAAATTGTGAGGTTCTTTTTTTCTAAATCAAGGAATATGGGGACTCTTAAAGGGGGAAAAGGTAAGTTCTGGGAGGAATTAAGGAGGGTAGAGGTGAAGGGCTGGTCGAGTGGGACAGCAGTTAATGGTGGTCGGCCAAGTGAGGCACATAGAAAGCAGTCAGAGATGTTGCCTATTCCGGTGTGATTAAGCATTTGCACCCCTTGGCGGATGAGGGCCAACCAAGAAAAAGGGTCTGTCTTATGGTCAGGGTGGGGTAATTGGCGTTCTAGGGCCTGTTCCGTCTCCTGGACCATGGTGGCCTGTTCGCTCAAGTGCTGGATAATTTCAGGGATCACTCTGACGTATGAGCGGAAGACCCTGATAGAGCCCACAGGGTAGGCATCAGTTGCCCACCGGTAGAGTTTTCCTTGTACCCCTTTTACCCATCTTGTGTCCCAGGGATCTTTGATGTTGATGAATAATTGACCCTTGCCATTTGTGGTGAGCAGGTGGGATTGTCGGAGCGAGCTCCTGGTATCTAGTTTTGCCACATGGATGTTACATGAGTGATAGGGGCACCCCCCATAGGTTTCATCCCACCATTGACAGTAGTCTCTGGTCTGATCGTAAGTGAAGCAGACAGCGGGGGTGGACCGACCCAGGGGAACACCTTCTGTGTTAGAGATGGGGATCTGGACTGTCACCAGGGCCTGGCACCCATCTGGTTGGCAGTCCCCTGTGCCCAAGACTCGAGCGTGGGTCCGACCTTTAGCTTGCCATGTCCCATGGACATGGAAGCGCCATAGGGACATCTGGTGAGTCCTGGGTGGCAGGAGGAGCAGCAGGAGGAGAGACAGGGTGACGGACAAGCCGTAGTCTCGTGGGACCCAGCGGTTGGGCCATCCAAGTCTCTGGAGTTGGGGCCATTTTAAGGCGGGAGACATGGTACCAGGAGGGGTGTCCCAAGAGTTTGGCTGCCGTAAGAGTGGTGAGGATCACCGTATGGGGGCCTGTCCACCGTGGCTTGAGAGATTGGGGGTGTAATTCTTTGAGGAGGATGCTATTGCCAGGTTGTAGAGGGAGAGGGGAAGTTTCAGAGGCAGTGACCGTCGGCAGGTTGCGGTCAGCGTGTTCACGGAGAAGGTGGCGGAGCAGAGACAGGTAGGGGAAGTAGGAAGCTAGGGGTGGGTTTTGGGTTGGTAGGTTATGGAGGAGAAAAGGGCGGCCATAGAGCAGTTCGAATGGACTGAGACCAGTAGGGGTCCGAGGTGAGGCTCAGATTCGGGTAAGGGCAAGAGGGAGCAAATCGGGCCACGAGATACGGACCTCAAGGGACAGCTTGGTGAGGTGGTCCTTCAAGATCCCGTTGGCACATTCAACCTTACCAGATGACTGGGGGTGGTAAGGGATATGGGTCTCCAGGTGATCTGAAGAGCCTCGGATACCTGCTGAACCACCTGAGAGACGAAGGTGGGTCCGTTGTCTGACTGGATGGAGATAGGCAGGCCAAACCGGGGGACGATATGTTGGAGAAGAATGGTGGCGACCGTATCTGCCGTTTCTCGGGCCGTTGGGAAGGCCTCGATCCAACCTGAAAAGGTGTCAACGAGAGTGAGCAAATATCGGAAGCGTTTACAGCGGGGCATATGGGTGAAGTCAATCTGCCAGTCCTTGCCAGGTTGGTGTCCGCGCATCTGGTGAGTAGGAATTTGGGGCAGTAGGCCTCCTTGTGGAGAGACAGACGCACAAGTCTGGCAAGCCGCGTGAGTTTTTGAGATGGCATCTCTGAGTCCAGGCATATAAAAGAGGGGATCTAGGAAACGGAACATCGCCTTTGGGCCAATGTGTAGGGACTTGTGGATATCTTATAGGAAGCTGGCCGCTTGAGCTGAAGGGAGGGCAACTTTGTTGTCCATAAAAATCCATCCTTTGTTGTCCTTGTGGACCCCTTTGGATAGTAGTGCTGTCTCTTCGTGGGGGTCATATGCGGGTCGGATTGAGGTGGTGAGGAACAAGATCGGAGCTGGAGGGGCCGCTTTGGTGAGCTCGCGGGCCACGGAGTCGGCCTTTGAGAGAGAGAGAGAGAGAGAGAGAGAGAGAGAGAGAGACTTATGGCCGAGGAGGTCGGCCAGTCGGTGAGAGGAAAATACAGTCAGCGGGTGGGCCAGGGTCAGTTTGAGTGTTTGTTTGGTCAGTTCAGCTGCTGATGCCAAAACTCGGAGGCGTGGTTGCCATCCCCAAATGGTTGGGTCAAGTTATTTGGAGAGGTAGGCCACGGGGCGATGGGAAGGCCCTACGGGTTGGGCAAGGAGTCCAGTAGCTATTTCGACCCATTCATCTACAAAGAGGTGGAAAGGACGGTCTGGGTTAGGCAGAGACAGGGGAGGGGAGGATATCAGGGTGTCTCTGAGGGTGAGAAAGGCCCGTCGAACAGTGGAGGGAGAGGTAAGGGGTCCTTGGGGGGTTTCTTTAGCAGTTAAATATAGGGGTTTAGCAAGAAGAGCAAAGTTAGGGATCCAATGTTGGAAAAATCCTATTAGGCCCAGAAAGGAGAGAATCTGGTCAGCTGTCTCTGGAGGTTGGAGGTTGGGGATGGCCTGGGTGCGGTCGGCTGTCAGGCTCTTTGTTGTGGGGGTAAGGTGGATTCCCAGGTAGGTTACTGAGGGTGTAGACAGTTGGGCCTTGGCTGGAGAGACCCGATAGCCGCGAGAGCCGAGATAATTGAGGAGGTCAGCAGTATGCTGTTCTGAGAGGCTGAGAGATGGGCTACAGAGGAGGAGGTCATCCACGTATTGGAGGACTATACTGGGGGTGAGAGGGCAGGAAGCGAGGTCCCGTGCCAGAGCCTGGCCAAAGAGGTGGGGGCTGTCGCGGAAGCCCTGGGGAAGAACCGTCCAGGTGAGCTGGCGGGAAGCCTGGGTATCCGGATCTGTCCAGGTGAAAGCAAAAAGGAAATAGGAATCAGGGTGTAGGGGGATTGAAAAGAAGGCGTCTTTGAGATCTAGGACCGTAAAATGAGTGGTGCATGGGGAAATATGGGAGAGCAAAGTGTATGGGTTTGGCATGACTGGGTGGAGGGGAATTATCACCTCATTGATCAGTCGGAGGTCCTAGACCAGGCGGTAATCTCCTGAGGCCTTGTGGATAGGCAGGATGGGGGTGTTGCAGGGAGAGTCCATGGGGACGAGGAGCCCCTGATCTAAGAGTCTGGTGATAATAGGTCGCAAGCCCCTTAGATGAGTCTCAGAAATGGGGAATTGGGGCCTGGATGGAAACTTGGAGGGGTCTTTAAGACGGATTAGGACAGGGGGGTGGTGGGTCGCTATTATGCGTTTTGAAGTATCCCAGATCTGGGGGTCTATCAGGTTGGGGAGGATGGGAGAAGAGAGAGAGGAGGGAGAGAGTTCCGCTGCCAGACCGAGGAGGGGGAGCAGGAGTTGAGAGGAGGGGGCCTTAGGGTCAAGTCTGGCAAGTTGGAGAGAGGCCCCTAATTGGAAGGGAACATCATGACCTAGCAGAGGAACCGGGCAGGACGGTATGACTAAGAAAGAATGAGTAAAAGGGAGCCTCTCGATGTAACATGAAAGGGGGACGGTCTGGAAGGGGAAGGATGGCTTACCGTCGATGCCCATAACCGAGACCTGGGAAGGAAAAACTGGCCCGGAATATGTAGGCAAGACCGAATAGGTAGCCCCCGTGTCCACCAGGAATGAGGTGAACTTACCCGCTACCTGTAGCGTTACTCTGGGCTCGGCGAGGGTGTTGGGGGTCTTCGAGTCCGGGTGTTGTCAGTCGTCAGCCAATCCCAGGAGTTCGAGAGGTAGGGCCGTTGGGTCGGTTCGCCCTCCGCGTTGAGGCGCTGAGGGAGGGCCAGCCGTAGGGCAGTCACTCTTCCAATGGCCTGTTAGCCCGCAGCCAGGGCAGGGCTTGGAAGGAGGCCGGGGATTGGGACATTGGCGAGCCCAGTGTCCCTCTTTTCCACACTTAAATCAGGCCCCTGGTGGGGTTGCCTTTGGCGGATCCCGTGGATGTTGTCCATGGGAGATGGCCGGCCACAGGGCGGCTACGAGGGCTTGGGTCTGGAGGGCCACCTTTTGGTGCATCCGAACCTGTCGGCTGGATTCTGCCAAATCCTCACGAGCATTATAGACTTTAAAGGCCATTTTTACCAGGTCTCGGATGGGAGTCTGGGGGCCGTCTTCTGCCCGCTTAAGTTTTTTTCTGATATCAGGGGCTGATTGGGTGATAAAGTGGGTGGCCAAGACCGTTGCGCCTGCGGGGGTGTCAGGGTCCAAGCGGGTGTAGAGAGTTAGGGCCTCTGTAAGGCGGTTGAGGAAGATGGCTGGATTTTTATTGGGCTCTTGGGTTATATCTTTTAGTTTTTCGAAGTTGACAATCTTGTGGGAGGCAGCCTGCATACCAGCCAAGAGGCATTGGATCATTAGATTGCGTTTGCGGCGACCGTCTTGGCCGTCCTGATAACTCCAGCCCGGATCGGTGCCAGGAACGGCAGTGGCTCCGACGGGCATAGGTTATCAGTGAGGTGGACCTGATCTGCGTGGTTTCGGGCAGCAGTTTGAATTCTTTCCCTCTCGTCGGGGGTCAGAGTAGAAGATAGGATCACAAAGATGTCGTGCCAGGTTAGATCGTAAACTTGAGAGAGGTAGCGAAATTCTTTGAGGTAGCGGGAAGAGTCGGCAGAAAAAGGAGCGTAATCGCTTTTATATTTGAGAGAGATCTTGGAGGGAAAAGGGAACATGAACTCTAACTAATCCTTCCGCTCCGGCCACCTCTCTTATGGGACAGAGAAGGTTTGGGTCCTGGGAGTCGTAGTGGTGAGAGCGGGTGTGTGAGCTCACTGGCGAGGAGAGTGGTGATGGGAGAGCGACGGAGGGAGAGGAAGCGGGGGAAGTCGGGGCTAAGGGGGAGGTTGCCTGGTGCGGAGGAGCGGTGGCGGGCGCTGGAGTGAGCGGGAGGGAGAGGAGCCGGTCCAGGGTAGGGTGGGGGTTGGAGAGGAGCTCTGGAGGGGGGAGAGGTGAGAGACTCGGGTGGGTCGGCTAGTGGAGAGGGGTCATCGTCAAAGGAAATTAGGGGTTAGGATGTAGGAGATGTCTGTTTGGCAAGAAGGATCTGGGAAGTGGAACAATCGACGCAGAGGGAAGGGCGGGAGCGTAAATACCAGAAGGCCTGGACATAGGGGACCTCGGACCATTTGCCCGTCCTGCGGCAGTAGTTGTCTAAATCGCGGAGGATGTTGAGATCGAAAGTCCCTTCAAGAGGTCATTTGGACTGATTGTCTAGAGGGTACTGTGGCCAGGCCTCGGTGGAATAGAATATGAGCTGCCTGCGGCGGAGGTCTTGAGAAAAGCCGAGTTTTGTAAAGTTGGCCAGGAGACGCCCCAGGGGTGTCTTAGGATCTGGTTTAGATTCTGAGGTCCCCATGACCTCCGGTCTGTCCCCGGGTGAACAGAGAAAGAGAGAGACGTCTCTGGTCTCAATCTCTGGTCACGGCAGATCGGAGAGCAGTCAGGCGGTTGGGACGTCTCCACAACCGCCCGAGGCTCGGAGGGAGGATGGAGGACTCCCTGACGCGGCCGCGGCTAAGGACAGGGAGTCCGGTAGGTAGGGACCCCGGGGGTCGAGGGGAAAGAAGGAGGGACTTACCCCGCTTCTGCCGGATCGGGTGGGTCCCCGGTCGTCCCCTAGGGGGGGTGAGGGGTGGCCCCGCGGTAATTTGTGGGGCTGGGTACCCCTCCCGGGTTTCGGCACCAAATGTAAGGAAAGGCACCAAGAAACGGAGGAGAACTTAAGCAAGCTTTATTTGGGACCGCTCCCGGGCGAGGTTCATTGGTCCGAGAGAAAGGGGCCAGGGAAGTCGCGCCCGGGTGCAGGCACGAACGAAATTTATAGGGATGGACGCAGGGGAGATGCTTGCTGTGTGAAGCAGCCCCTTTTTTGGTAATCTCTCGGGTGTTGTGGCAATGTCGGGTGCCGGTTGCGTTGGTTCCGCCCCTCGGGGAGCGGGAAAGCCGTAGAGCCGTTGGTTCCGCCCCTCGGGGAGCGCGAAAGCCGGGGCCGAGTGGAAAGTCCCGGGTCTGTTTCCTGGGCAGGTGGAAAATCCCGGGCTGATGCCACTTGTGGGTCGGCTGCATCAACCACCTTGGTGGGGGTTCCGTCTGGCTCCCTGGGCCCTTCCCCGGACCTGCTGGCCTTCCAAAAACACGTACTTTTTAGTTACCCATTTTGTCAGTGTGTGTTGTTAAACTGTTTCATCTCTAAAAAACAACCAAGATTTTAAGGCTTTTCATAGCATTTATTGATCTGTCAACTCTTGCTGCAGTAGAAACTGAATCTTAAGAACTAGACATGAATTCTAACTTGCTATTTTATAGTTGGCAAGATTACCAAATTACAGCTGAGGAAATGCCTATAAAATTGTATCCTTACGTTTTTACAATTGATGTAAAAGTTTTCACATGAATCCAGAATCTGTAATAAACATTGTTGTTGAAGTCATCCATTCAGAAAAATCAGAATGCGGCCTTTTATCAGATGATACTGATTTTTTTTTTTTACTGTTGTATTTCATTGTATTTATTTTGTCTTGTTTACTAGGAACCTCATAGCTAAATGTAATGTTGATTGTGTATTACCTTTCTTTGATCATAGTACTGTCTATACATGTTATCTTTATATTTCAGTGACTAATGTTTAAATTTTAATGCATACACTGCCTCAATTCTTGTTTGAAAGCGGGTTGGTTTTTAGAAACAAATGTGAGCCCAGTAACTACTCTCCATGAAACAGTTTTCTTTCTAGACAGACTGATAAAAATTTTGCACACTACAAATATTTTTTATTGCAGTTTAATCCTAGTCCAAGGTTGGCATAGCTCAGTAAGAGCAGATTATAGCGGTGATTCTCATTTTGGTATGTGTAAGAATCACCAGACTTTCTTTTAAAAATCATCTCTAGACTTTGTTTCAGTCCCAGGGTAGGACCTAAGAATCCTCATTTTTTTACAAGTTCTGATAAATCACTGTTTGAGAAATACTTTTGCAGGGCCAGAATCGCAGTTTTTAAAAATGTATTCAAAAGTAGTTAAAAGTTCTTGAGAGTTGACTAAGGACTAACAGGCTAACAGGAAACAATATATAAGCCTAAATGCCTGTTAAGAAACTTAAGGACCTGAGACACTGCTATTCTTTTGTCATCCTTGTTTCTCTGAAAGAAATATTCATGGGAAGACCTGTTTATAGTTTTTCAAAAAGGGTTCGTGATGAGCATTGTATAAGTGCCTTTGGAGAGTTAATTGATCCTAATGGCTAACAGGATTCGGCTGTCACAGTGTTCATCTTCACTAGTGAGGTAGTCCAGCCAGGGAGGTGTGATTAATACTATCAGCTGATTTTGGAACTCATCTCCCCAAATCTTCCCTGGGTGGCATTAGAGTCACACTGCAGAGTTCTTAGGGCTTCCCTTTTATAATTATCCTGCAAACCATCCACTACTGTAAGCCTGTTTTTCAGGGAGATTAATAAAATAAAACTTCTGATTATTTAGTTAAAATCACATTCCACTCATTCCTCCTTGAAGTTATTTTCCGGCCAAGTGGATTGCACTAATCATATACGACATTGAGTTGTTTCTTTTTAGCACATTGGCTTTTGTATCTGTCACATTTTCCCAAATTTTATCACATTTCACACAGTCCTGTTTCCAATTTTTGCGTTTTTTTCCTAGTCAATATAAAGTATGATAAAATGACCTTTTATTTGAGGCAAACTTGAAATAAGTATATAAGAAAAATAGAAGGAATTGCCTTTAGCAGAAAGTACTTAGTCTAAGAATATTGTTATCAAGTTTAATGTAGGCCTAGTACTTTTATAAACATTGTAAATAGCGTCATACAGAAATTGTAATCAGATTTGATGGAGTTTCTTCAATGTCTAAAAAGCTTTTAAACTTGATCTTTGGTGCCTGTCATTTCTTGACACCTACTGGTTAATAGTTACCTTTAAGTCCCTTTTGTGGCTAGGAGCAGATTCCTAGCATCTTGCAGTGTCAAGGGCTATTCTTATTTTTTAGCTGCCCATTTACTGCCTGTTTTATGCCTGAGATGTTTCCAGGCTTCTACACATTTACAGAGATGACTGACATATACTGAGTTCAATCAAAGATGAAGCCAGCTCATTTAAAGAGTTGATGATTTATTACTTTTCTTCTGCAGAGTGATGAGACTTTACCATCATAATTTCATTATACAGAAAATTAGAAATATGGTAAAAATTTCCAAGAGAAAGGATGTGTTGCAAAATGACCCATTCTCTTAGAAAGGCACAAGTTGGGAGCAACTCACTCAGTTTCTTCCTTGCAGTGAAAGATGATTGAAACCATGAACTTGAGCTTTTTAGGGAATGTACGAACCTTGTAATTTGAGCCCACAGTCTATTAAGGAAATGATACAGTGCTATCTGCAGCTGGGTGGAGTAACTCTAATATTTAATTTAAAAATTTACAAATATGTTATCCTATTCTGCAGCACAGTCTTTGTAAAATTGCGTATATTGCTTACTCATATCAGTAAAAGAACCAAGGCAAAAAAGAAGAGAAAAACAAAAGCCCCAAAAGACTAGAAGGATACAACCAAAATGGGTTTTGGAATAATAGTTTTTTTTTAATCTCTTTTTAGTCTTTATAATGAATGACTGTAACTCCCAATGAGAAAAACTTTGTTTAAAAAGAAAGCACAAGTTTATGGAAGTGTGAATAACACGTTCAACAATTAACAACACTGTTGAACTTTTACAGTATGCCAGAAACGTGTTGTTTCACCTGGTATTCCCAACTATCCTGCATCCATCAGTATGAAATATTCCCTTCTAAACCATGAGATAGTTTAGGCATGGTAGCAAGGCAGAAGCAGTACAGGTTATTAGCAAGAATTATCAGTGTGCAGCTAAATTATTAGTCATGAAATCATTGCAAATCTCCTCTTAACACGTAAAAGCAGTAATGCGAACCAGACATTAGGACCTCTAAATCTCAAGAAATTGGTTTGTTATTGTTAGTGTGATACTGCCTGGCCCAACTTTGGTGATCAGGAGGGATGTTTCTGAGGCTAACAAAGCCAGACTTTAGCTAGCATCAGAATCACCTGGAAAACTTGTTAAAACTCATTTTACTGGGCTGCACTGGGTCCAGAGTTTCTGATTGAGTAGGTATGGGGTAGAGCCCAGAAATTTGCATTCCTAATAAGTTTCTAGGTTATGCTGATGCTGCTAGTTTACAAGAACCACTGGTCTAGTAGTTCCCATCCCCCAGGCGTATCAACAACAACAAACAAACAAACAAAAACCTGAAGATTTTCTTTTTTTTGCATTTATAAAATTTCAGACCCTATCCTTATCTCCTGAATCAAAGTTAAAGTCACTTAATTGGCTGCATGCTCAGTATGCCATCAGGGTCCATTGGACCCAGTCTTCATTTTTAAATTTTCTTGAGCAGTTCTATTTGTAAGAATTGTTATTTCATGTCATTTACTTTTTCTTAGGGGACCTTCCAGAAAATAAAGAGAAAATTGAGTTATATTTTTTTCTATAGAATAAAGCATATTTGATCTTGAAATTACCATATTGGTGTATTGGCCCCTTTTATAAACCTAAGATACATTATAAGATTTTAATGACCTTATTTTCCTGTATCTGGAAACATTTTGCTATTTCATTATTTTAGGAATCATCTAATATTACTCATCAATTATTCTCAACTATGCTAAAAAGAATAACATGATGAAATCCTCCAGAGCAGAGGTCAGCAAACTGGCCCCTGGGCCAAATCTGATCTGCTACCTGTTTTTGTACATTAAGTTTTATCGTAGCATAGCCTTGCCTCTTGTTTTATATATTGACTATGGCTGCTTTCATGCTACAACGGCAGAGTTGAGTAGTTGTGAAAGAAACCTGATGGCAGGTGAAGCTGAAGATATTTTACTATCTGATTCTTTTCAGAAAACTATAGTATTCTCATCCAGTTAGTCATTCAACAGAAAGGACTTCAGGCAAAAACATGAACCAACTCCTTTTGCTAAAAGAATGTATAACAGTCTTCATCTTTTATGAATCTGTGCATGCTAATTTATTTGATACTGTTTGTAAGTGGAGAAATGCTAATGGAAGGTGACTGGAAAGGAATGGAAAAAAAATCATTGGATTGAGTATTCAAATTGTTTATAAATCTAAAAGTGAAAATGTTATACAAATTATGGAGCAAAGATGGTTGTCTTCCATGTCTTATAAGCCATGAAAGATTTTAAAAATTCCTTCAAGCATTGTGTTTTGATGATGCAAGTGCATAAAGAAAAAGCAAAACTAATAATAAGCTATAACCAATTAGAGATGTATCTGAAGTCTAAAATCAGTATTTACAGGATGGTTATGTTCCAGATACATGCATGAAGATAGTAAGCAGTTATTTGCACTTAGAGGAAATGCCCATTTATAGTGTGTTTATTTGTTTGTTTTTAAATCAGGGAAACTCAGAATAAAAATTTGGGTTTACTATATCTTATTAAAATTTCTAACAGTTTTTTTCAGGCTTTTTATTCTTTTGTAAATTGTTCATTAAATGATTAAAAATAAGGGAAAATAGATCGTGAGAAGCCTCCACGAAGCTGGCTCATGCACTTACTCCCTCTCTAGACCTTACCCCCTCTGTACAGTGGGACCTAAGCGGTTTCAGAGAACCTTCCCATTTATACAGTGCGTGGGGGGAGGGCCTTTGGGGAGACTGCCCTCACCCATGCGTCTTTCAAGGCCACCTTGGCCACCAGCTTCTTGCGGTTGGGCTTGTTTATGTACTGCTGCTTCTGGAACATCTTATCCAGCGCCTTGCACTGCACGTCGGAGGACACGTCTCTATGCAGCAT